TTGTGAAGCTTCCCTGTAGCGCGAATTCAGAAGTTCTGAAAAACTGGTAGAAGGGCATACTTATATAAACTTATGCGTTATTAGATAGATCACTGAAGCGAATGCACATCCATGTGATGTTAATACTGGAGATTAAGCATATACCGGTTATCGGTTAATTGATAAAACCGACCGTGCCTTCAAAGTTTTGTATTAGAAATACTTTTTCGGCTCAGAAACCGACTCCGCTGCTTTCGGCTTAATGGAAGCGATGCATGCCTAAATGTGATATTCCCAGTTTCCTTCTTTCTACCTTTCTTCTCGATGAATCATCAGTTTCCGATATCAATTTTAAAACATAAATACTTGATACGGTATTAGTCACATAATGGTGACTCATACAAGTAAAAATAGATTAGGGTATTCAATGCACTTGAATCAAAAAAGTGATCCTAATTTGATTCAAGCTTTAATCTTAAGCCACAACGAAATCGAGAGAACAAATTCCCAACTAATCAATTCCAAACTATCCAAACACAAAATCAATCTTTGCACGAAACTAGGCTCGAATACACGAACTTGAGCGTGACGAAGTGCCAAAATCAGCTTCGCTGCTCTTTCATATATTCTGCACAATGATTGAAGTTGTGCAATGGTCCGATGTTATAGTTCAATGTATATGTTTTTTACGGAATTTTTTCTAGTTCATATTATAGCTGATATGAAGAGCTTTCGAAATATATATTCAAAGTTCTCTGACCAGAAGCCATTACTAAGATGTTAGTGTTGTTCTAAAACAACAGTATTCCATAAGTAAACTAGATGAAGAGGGCATTTTTAAAGCATGTAGACCATTTCAGCTTTTTTGTTTGATCGAATGATAAATAGGAGATCCGAAATTGCATCAGAAACTCGTATATTACAAGAGTACTACAACAACGTTTAGAGTTCAGAGTCAGTTACGATGGCAAAAAGTTTTTTGAATTTTGACGACCGAAAAACACCGTCTCTTCTATGATACAAATGATGTAGACGATGGAATCTCTACTTAAGACAGGATTTATTTTGTGAGATAAATTCTCAAAGTAGATTTATCTTTTATAAACTTATGTGTTTTGTAGGCATATCTGTCGATGTCTATCGTTTTGGTCAAATATCCGGCGATACAAAGAAAGGCATTTGGAATACAACAGAAATGATATCATTAATGATTTGTGCTGGCGGGGGACAATTAGGAAAAATGCCAAATACTGGTGGATCAATTAACTGGATACCAGTCGATATTGGTAGTGCATGCGTTGTTGATATTGCATTACAAGATTATAATATAAATAATAATGTACATCATTTACTGAATCCAAATGTAATTAGTTGGAATGAATTCTTAGTAAACCTTAAACAGGCTGGACTACACTTTGAGATTGTGCCAATAAAAGAATTTTTTGATAATATACTAACCAGTAAGGATAATCCATTGTTAAAATTGGCATCATTTTTTGAGAAATATTATTTAAATGGTCAATCAAATAAATTAGCTCAATATGAAACCCAAAAAACCGTTGAAAAAACCAATAATTTAAAACTTTGTCCAGCTATTGATCAGCATTTAATTGAATTGTATTTAAATTATTGGTATAAATCCGGATTTTTAAAGTGCGGCTATGAATCTAAAGAATAGGCTGGTCATTTATTAATTATTGCGCAGTATAACCATCAAAATAAACATTGTGGACTAAATCAAAATAAATAGACTCCACAATTACACTTTTTTACAGTAGTAAGCTCTTACATCTATGATACCATTAAAAATATCATTTTTGCTTTTTGTTGATTTTTCCTTTCGTTATAAAGTGCTAATTATTCAGTACAATGTGATATATCGCCCGTAATTTTGTCCATAATGATTTCCTTTTTGTGATAAAGTTGATTATACGACATTCTTATAACAATATAAAGTTCTTCGATTTTAAATTAAGAGTTTAGATTGAATTCTCTACCGAAGAAATTAAACCGAGTTCAATAGTAACTTGCACTATCACAACTCTGTCTTTCGAAGAGAGAATACACTTCCGGTTCCTTATAACATGTCGATCACAGCCGAAACTGATGTGGTGTGTTTTGTATTATATGGGTTACATGCGAATATATTGCATTTCAGAAAGATCGATTAAATCGCAGCTGCAAGAGTGAAATCGATGGCGTATTTTCATATTTTGTTGATTATTTGGCGTTTTCGTCTTCTGCTGGTTAGAGTAAGTCGGGGTCTGTAGGCTTTCACGGCCTACACTACTTCATCTGAATTTTTCCTTCTGAGTTCTAGTTTAACCTCTCCATTGAGCAGTTAACTCCTGACCTAAACTTTTCAAAACTTGGCTGTACTGTTACCTATGTTCTACGTCTCATTCAATTTGCGAAAAACTTTCCGATGACGTTAGAATGTTAAACAGGGGATTGTAAACGTCAAACATTTTTAAATGTCTCGATGGTTATGAACTTAAACTCGCTTCGAAACCGTCCTTGAAACTTAATTGTAATATCTGTAATAGAATACTTCACCTTATTCCGACATGGCATTGCGCTGGTTGTTTTAATATTCTTAAAAATAACTTCAGTCATATTGCATAATTATTTCTGCTAGTATACCTCCTTCTGCGTTTTCATGAAAGACCAAAGTTTTTTCTTGAAAGTGTTCTTCAGTGTAGATATAACTGAACTGTCATCCTTCACTCGCATGTTAAAACTGTTAGCAACATAAGTATTGAACTTGAATAAAAAAGGGAAATCCGCTAGAACTTTTTGTAGATTTATTAGGCAAAACATTCAGTTACTCTAAACCACATCTTTTAAATATTTACATTAGCAAAAACTCCGTCATCGCACTTCTATGGGTATTTAATTCAGATTTGCCGAGTTATTATATAATAATATTGAATGTTTCCCATTATAAATATGTGCTCAGTAATTAATATCAAGACCATTTGCTTGTTCCTTTTAAAGCCAATCTTATCTGCTTGATTAGAATGGTTTGATATCGACAAAAGCTAGGAAGTCTCTTTTCGAATGTGTCCAGTAGTATTTACCCTCAAGATAACGTTCGAACAATTCGTTACAGTGCTTAATTGACGCCTGGTCAAACTCAAGTAATGTTCTGATATCCGTGGTCATACAATATTGACATTTGTAAAAGTATAATACCTTGCAACTAAAACAACTATCACAATGCCATGTCGGAATAAGGTGAATTATTCTATTATAGAATAGATATTACAATGAACTTCCGAGTTTAAGTTCATGGCCATCGAGACATTTAAAAATGTTTGACGTTTGCACACTTAATTGAAATAGTAATATATAGTTGAGTGTTGTGTGATCAATCCGTCATGGTCCGTTAATAAATTGCCACGATTTTCAGCAGCTGACTCAAATTGTCCGAGTAGTTCGTAGATGTATGATACTCGGTCGTAGGACGCAGCTATGTCGAGATTACTAATGTGGGCCATATGCCTGTAATATGATCGACGTGAATCCATTGTCAATTCTATCAATCTTTTTGTTGACAAAATTGCCTGTTTCAAAGCAAGGTGCAAAGTTTAAACGTTTTAGTTTGATAACAGAGTTTGACAAGGTTTCTAAAGCACGCGCGTCGAG